GCTTGCAGAGTGCTCCAGGGGGGGGGGCAAAAAAGAGAAAAAAACAGCCCTTTTTTCACGAAAATGGGCCTGTTTTTTATCAAAAAATTTGCATGCATAGCATTATGGAGGCTTATAGAGTGCTACCAGGGGCTGGCCCCCCCAAAAACGGCCCGTTTTTTGCTCATTTCTGCCCTCCCCAACCCCCAGGAGCGCTCTGAAAGCCTCCATAAGGGTATGCACGGCCAATTTGGTGAAGGGGGTGGGGCTTTGGAAGGCAAAAAAATGCTGTATTCAGTGTATTAGATGCACCCAGATTTTCAGCTTCTTTTTTGAGGAAAAAAGGTGCGTCTTATACTCCGAAAAATACGGAAATAGTTGTATCTTAATATTTAAAATGACAATTTTTTTTCTCCTTTTCAGGCACAACCAGCACCGAGAGGTTCTGCAACAGCATCATTTGGAGATCTGAGAAAAATAAATGAACTTATTTCAGGCAAAAAAAACCTTTGACATGATATATAGTAATACAAATTGTACATAGCCTGTTGGATATTTAACAGTTACCTTTAACTTTGACAAACAAACATTATTTCCCCCAAACCTACTTTGGTGCCTAGAAAAAAAAGGGTGGGGGACTATATGCCTGTTTACCCCGTCAATGGCTATATTTTACTATTACCATTTGCATATTTTTATATGCAAATGATATTAGTAAAATTGCCAATTTTATCTGGATACATATTTTATCTGTACACATATTACCTGCCTATGAGAAAATATGAGAGGTTCCTCTATTCAATCAAAGATTAAATGAATGATGGGGACTTGGATAGTTGTTCCTATGATTCCTGGAAGGTCTAATTCTGACTGTTGCAATTCTTGTACCTTCTGTGAGATAATGTACCTTCTGTTATCTAGTGGGCTCTTCCACTATGACAAGCCACATCCTTGTAGGGCTTAGATTGTTGGCCAGGATCCCAAGGCCCACCAGTGAAGAGTTGAGATGAAATGTAATGTAATGGTATACAGTAGGGATATGTTAAGAATAAAGGAATATTCGGCTTCTATTTGTATGGTTATCCTATAGGTAACTATTACAAGCCACAATGACATTACATGCATTATGGTATGGTTAGAGAAATGTATCACTGCACAATTACATCTGTTAACTTGAGCTACTTGTGGAATATGATGCACACGGAAGCATTTACCCATCTTGCCACCCTGGTGACATTCATATTCCAGCCAAAATAATAAAGATCCAAATGTTTTCTTGGTTGCAACCATTTTTCCCCCTCAACTATCTAAAATAAAAGAGTTTTTTATGCTGCATTAGACAGTTATGTTGGGCATGTATGCTGACTTGCAGCAAAATTATCCAAAGATCTACCACTATTTCTTATTCTAAGCTTTTGCATTTGGTAAAACTGTTAACTTTTTCCAGTAAAAAAAATCCTAAACCACAATAATTTGATTGTAATATTATGATTTCAGTGATTTTGTGGAGCAGCTACACTTAATTCCTCCTACTGTTTATATGTGCATGTGTGCCTGTTGTGTATAAAATAAATCTTGTGCTTGCACAGTTAACTGAACCATAGATTACTAGAATTAACTCCACATGTGATCTACCAGTGATGTGCGGTGAGGTTCATGGCCGGTGAGGCAAGCGGGCAAAAGCCNCACATGCTATTGCTCCTCCTGCCTTTGTCCTATCTCAATAAAAGGGGCTCTCAGACCCCCAATCTGGGTCGCTCCATCCCGAGAAAGGTCATCTCCTGTCTTTTCTCAACATTGGCCTCATGGACGACCCACGGGAACATCACATTTGGTAGCAGAGGATGGTTACTTCACAAATATTATAGGTATATAAGTGATTTAAACAATGCAAGCTTCAAATTCCTTGTTCTAAACTTATTGGAAGCGTTCTGGTTTATCAAGACTATCAAGCCAAGAATACAGATGGAACACTTTTTTTCAAATTCAAAAAGTTTTGTACATCTGTACTCAAAATTAGTTTGGCTTATTTGAAATTTAGTATATTGTGTGAATCCAGTCCTTGTAGTTTTTAGTTTTGCTGCATGGCTTAGCGCAGTGATGGCTAACCTTTTTGTTGAGGTGCGCCAAAAGCAGGAGCATGGGGGTGGTCGTGCATGTGCGTGCCCACACCCATAATGCAATGCTCCCCTTCCACACGTGTGCACAAACACACTGCATGCACGCAGGCCTCATTGAAGCCTCCGGACTTCTGGGAGGCGTGTTGGGCCGTTTTTTGCCCTCCGCAGGTTTTAGGAAAGCCACCTGAAGCCTCCGGAGGAGAAAAACGGCCCAACGGGCAACCCGGAAGTTCATTCCTGAACTTCCAGTTTGCACATTGGGCAGTTTTTCTCCTTCAGGAGGTTTCCCTGAAGCCTCTGGAGGGTGAAAAACAGCCAAAAATCAAGGCCGAAAATCAGCTGGCCAGCGCACACATGCACACAAGCTGACACGGCAACGCCTTGTATGTCCTCAGAAATGGTTCTGCATGCCACCTGTGGCACACGTGCCATAGGTTTGCTATCATGGGCTTAGTGTATTCTATAAAGCCTAACAATTGTATTTAACTTAATGATGCAGAATGCCACTTAATGCTACTGAGCTTAGAACATGGAGATAATGAAGAAACTTTTAGAGTAAGTGTCTAAAGATTCAAATAGTTGAAACAAAATCCATTTGAGCATTTAAATGTCCCAAATATTTGATCTTTTTCACATTTTCAAAACTAGATTTCAGTACTCCTATTACCCCATCCTATTACTGTGCAGTTTTTATGGTTACATTCTCTTGTCCTTAATTTTAGTCTGTTGACCTGATATTCATCAAAGAGCTAAGGATTATGAACTAATTGAACTAGAAAGAAATATAACAATATGATAATTATCTGTGGAAGACTCCGACTGCTGTCTTATATTAGCACAATGAAATTAAATGCAAGAATTATTCTTAGCAGGACATGGTTGCTTAGCTTGATTGGTTAAACTATAATATCCTTTCATTCACCTTTTGTACAGCTGAGCTCAGTTGTGGATTCTTCTTCTGTCCTTTAATTAAACAGACTGGCCCAAATGTCTGTGACCTAGTTTACATAATACTAAAACAATTAACGACAGAGCTTACACGTTTGGGCTTAGCATGATACATGAGCTCACTTATAGCTTTGTATTATATACAAACCAGGCTACTGTGATATGTTCAACAAACTATGGTTCATAACTTCTCATATGCAATGTGTGAACCTTCATGGCACCAGTGTTAAGGTTGAAAATGATATCTTAACATAAATTGGACCTATTTATAATTAATTTACAACAATATGTATGCTACAAATAATTTGTGGCAAAGAGAATTAACATATTGTCCTACGCCTTCAACTATAGTGCAGAAATCATGTAAAGGCTATTGCTTTAGCGGCATTGAGTGTTTTCAGATATGTATTACTGTAGTTGGACAAAATCAAGATTAGTTCCGGTCTGCAAATACGTATGTACTGAACATATATAGTTGCATTAAATAATCAGAACAATGTGAGTTAAAATGTTAAAAAATCAGAATTATAACCTTTATAAATTATTCAATTAGAAAAAAATCTTCATAATACTTGTACAAGTCATTGAATATGTCAAGGAGTTCCTCAAGAGGTAATCTCTGAAATTTTCTCTGGTTTTTGAAATTTCATTACATGATTCAAGTGTGTGTCCACATGACCCTTTCCAGGATAACGCCTGGAATCATCAAATCTCAAACTTATATTTTCAAAGAAGACTAAAGTCTGTTCCTTTATGTAGCCACTATTATCTCCGCTTCTTTTATATAAAAGGCTAATGCTTGCCTTTTAATATTTTTAATCAATGAAACATCAGTCGAGGGGTGCGTTGCCAATTTGTTTACTACCGGTTTGGGTGCAACACTTCTGGGCATGTGCAGAAGCTTCTGCACATGCACAGAAGCGTCCGGGGGGGGTTGGCATAGCCTCCTGCCGCCGCTACCACCGGTTCGGTCAATCCGGGCTGAACAGGGAACAACCCACCTCTTCATCAGTCCCATTAATATGTGACATTTACACTGAGTGGACTCACAGGTTTATCAAACCACTGTGATTTATCTGGTTTTGGCTTAGCATGCCAAGCTATTCTAGGTTGAAGACTATGATTTAGGGCAGAATGCAACACAAACTCAACTCCTGTGATTGGTTCAGGAAGCCAAGGTTAAAACAAGTTGCATTAACATGCTAGAATGAAAGAATCAGGAATGAAATCAAATGGGAAACCAGCTGCAGATGGTCTCTTTCTGGAAATATCTCCATGCACTCACGCACATTAAATAAACAAAGCTCTTTGGGCCTTCTGCGTGTCAGCCAGGTGTGGATGACAGGGCGTCTAGTGGGAATGGACTCCAGTGTTTCTGGCTGCAGAAATTACATTGGAGTGGGAATGCTTAGCTCCCGTATCAAAGTTTTGTTTTCCTTGTTAAGAGCATAAACATGTTTATCTCCTCAAAAGCCATTTCAGGATATCAGAGTGAGTGCCAGGGTGATGCAAAGATGGAGTACGAAGGGAGCTGCTAAAAGGAAGAATGTCAACAAGATAGACCCCCAGGGTGAATGGGAGTATTTTATTATGTTTTAATTTCTTATTAAAGAAAGGCTTTAGAAAATTAGAATTTAAAATCAGTTTAGATAATCAAAAATATGAACAAATACTATTCAGTTTTGCTGATTGGCTCTTAACAATATCACTAATGCAAACAGGAATATAATCATAAGCAGATCCCAATGTATTCTTAGCAAACCATCAAATCCTGTCATTTTCCAGACTGCAGTAATCTGTTGAAGAGAAGGAAAGAAAAAACATATATATGTACAAAAAATGCTTCTTATGGATATCTTTTGTACTTAAGTCTTACTTTTTTCCCCCCTTTGGCTACTACAAGAACTTTACTGGTGCTGTGGAAACCCATCAAGATATACACTGCTCAAAAAAATAAAGGGAACCCAAAAATAAGACATCCTAGATCTGAATGAATGAAATATTCTTATTAAATACTTTGTTCATTACATAGTTGAATGTGCTGACAACAAAATCACACAAAAATTATCAATGGAAATCAAATTTAGCAACCCATGGAGGTCTGGATTTGGAGTTANGCAACTACTTCAGCCTTTTTCCTTTTAATTTTTTTTTCTTTTCATGACGACAGTGGTGAGGCTCTGCCTCCCCTGACTGAACGTTACTGTGATCTACACATAAGCCAGTCACATTTTAGCCTATTATGTTGTGAGAATCCAGCCAAGCTGGCGAGGGATAATTTGGAAGAGCTAATCAACTGATCTATATGCTACCAAAACTCTTGTGTCTGTAACCTTTAACTGGGTGAAACAGTGCATTGTAGAGCAACAATTTTTGAACCAAGGTACCTCAAATGGTCTAACGTAAAATTCAAAACATATAACAGCCATGGAATTGAAATTTGGCAAATTTTATAAAAATTTTATGATGTAAAAATCACCACAAAACATTTGTGTGATATAATACAGTACTATAGAATATTATAAAACATTCCCTGTGGTCAACCTCTTAAGGTTATGCTATGCAATTCAACAAGGGCCTATTTTCAAGTGAAGATATAACTATAAAAAAATTTCCAGTGAAAGCAGTACATTGGAAATTCTGTCATTGCTGAAATAATTGAGGAATTTGGGAAGAAAATATATCTAAAACAATGATCCAATGGGTCACGGGTTGTCTAATTTGCCTTAAAAAGGAGGTATATTTCACTTTTGGTGTGCATGGCAAGTTGTGATCGACCAGACTTGTTCATTCTTCCAGGTGTATCCATAATTTTTCTTCCAATGTGGAGGAAATGAAATCACATAATGATATGAGGAAACTGAGGTACGGAAAAGCTAAATACTCAGAAATTGCTGGAAAGAACTCAGTGAAGCAGTTCTTCACCTGTTCAAAATCTATAAGTTGCAGTATTGCTGAACTCTGAATGAACCAATCACACATCAAGATGTCTGCATGCAACTGCATACACTTTTCTTGAGTGTCTATTACTGCTTGTTTAGAGTTTCCCTACTTTCACAATAATGCTGAATTAATATTTGTTGTAATATAACTCCTTGTGTAGGTGTGTGTCCTCCATGGCCTAGTCCATACTAGGGCCTGCAGAGTCACGCTGAATCACACAGGAGAAAACAAACTCCTAGAAAGCCATAACATCCTTATAATGAATAGCATAACATTCTGAGATGTGCTCTACCATTGAC